ATTGCCAGAATTGAGAGGATAATTTTTATTTGACAGATATTTTGATTATTCTCTCCGAGGAAGAAGAACCTCGTTAAAAAATTGAGGATAAGAACAAAAAGCATCAAAGGGAAACGGATACTAAAAAGATGCACCAGTAAGAAATTGCTGGCAGGGAAGCCCACCTCCTCCGTAAATAAAGGGAGCGTAAAACTAGTAAACTGACAGAATAACCCGTGGCAAATTTGCCCGTCAATTATGGAAATTGCTAAGGGAAAGTCTAAGAGTTAATAACTGCTTAGGCTCCTTTATGAAAAAGAAGGAGTAGGAGCCTTATCTCAGAGGTTAAACTGAGGTCAAAGAAGCTAGGTAGTTTTTAAAGGTTCTTCCTAGAAAAAAAATAAAAACCGAAAGTTAGAGGAGAGGAATTATTTTTTTATTTACTCCTCTAGATTAATTTTGCTTCTTTGTAAAGTAGGAATTTAACTTAGCTCATCTTCTCGCTACTGATAGCGAAGATAGAAACACCATCACACCCTGTATGTAGAAAATGAAAAACAATCAATTAACCAAAACCGAAAGCAAATATTTAAAAATTTTTGACAGAAGAGATATCAGAATTAGAATCCCTTTTAAAGAAAAAAGACCTCATCTTGAAAATTGAACTACTTATTATTCTGAACCTTGAACTATCAGCCAAATGTTAGAACAAGGTTTTAATTATGGAATTAGAACTGGAAAATCCATCGGCAATTATTACAATGTAGTAATTGACTTGGATGATCTATGAGCTAAAGAACGGATTAAAGATAGCCGTTATGTGGAAACTAGCAAAGGTGTTCATCGTTATGTTTTAATTAAGGAATTGCCTAAATCTTGTTGACTAATTGACGGGGAAACTGGTGAGGGAATTGGTGAATTGCATAGTAAAGGAAGGCAAATAGTAGGTATTGGGAGTACTCATGAAAGCGGTAAAAGGTATAGTCTAAAAGGAAGAGTTAATGTTAAATTCTCTTTACATTTTGAAACTTTATTCGAATTACAGCAATTTCTAAAAGCCAGAAATATTTTTACCACTCCCTGAGGTAAGAAAGGATTAAAGAATGTTAGAGATTTAGAACTTTATCAACCTAAAAAACCTAAGCCTCTCAAAAAGAAAAAAGTTTCAGAACCAAAACCCCTAATAACCAAAGAACAAAAATATTTTCAGCAAAAAGAAAAGTTAGAAACTAAAGTAAACAACCATCCTAAAAAATCAGTTCTAAATATTTGTTATCTCTGTTTAGTTTATTTTCCTAAGGAACCAGAAATTATAAAAACCCATCTCCAAGGACAGAAACATCAAAAAAATTGAAAAAGCTATCAAAACAGATCAAACCATCCCAGTAAAATAAATAAAAATATCTAATTATGGCAAAACCAGCAAAATCCACTAACCAAAGCAAACTAGTAAGCAAAAAAATTTTAACTGATCGCATTAGTGCTAATTTAAGTAAAAAACATTCTCTTTCTAAAAATCAAATTGAAACTGTCTTAACTGAATTCTTAGAAGAAATTAAAAAAGCCTTAATCAAAGGAGAAGAAATGAGATTCCCGGGTTATTTATCTCTAAAAACTACTATTCAAGCTGCCCGGGTAGCCATGAACTTACAAACTAAAAAAAAAATGACTATTCCGGCTAAACGAGTTCCTAAATGTAAATTTAGTGAAGATTTGAAAAAGGAAATTAGTAAAAGCAAATCTAAATAATGAACCTTACTAGAAATATTAAATCCACGATCAACCAAAGAAAAGAACTGTTAGATAAAAACGGTAATCAATACCTAATCTTAGGACTAGATAACGGAGAAAGCATTTTTGTTTTTGGAGGTAAAGTTAAAGAGGAAAGATGAAACTGATTAACCGAAGGTAAAGAAATAAACTTCACGGTGGAAGAAGGAAAGAATGGCACTAATCTATTAGTAGATTATGTAATTGAAGTTTAAAATTACTTTAATATCATGAAAAAGCAATTAATTGTTAAAAGTAATATTCAAGAAATTAAAAGAGTTTGTGAAGAGAGAGGAGCAAGTTATGAAATTTACCAAGCAAAAAAACCTAACAAATCTAGAATTACTGATCAACAATTAAAAGAAGCTTACCAAAAACTATCTAAAAGCAAAAATTATGAAAAGGAAATGAAGTTATGAGATAGTTTAGAAGATGAGTAAACCCAAAGTAATCAAATATCGTTCAGTCTACTGAGTTAAATTAAAAAAAGAAGTCGGCACTGAAATCTATAAAACTCGTCCTTGTGTCGTGATGAGTAACGATTGACAAAATACTTTAGGGAAAAGAGTAGTTATTATTCCTTTTACTACCACTCCAATGCCTGATATTCCTTTTCATATTCCCATTGAGTTTGAAGGAAAGCCAGGAAAGATACTACCCGAACAAATTCGTTCAGTAGATAAAAAGAGAGTGGGCAAAATAATAGGAGAGTTGCCCGAAGAAGTTATGTTAAAAATAGAAGAAATGCTTCATTTGCTTCTTAACTTTAAATGTTAGTTAGAAATTCCTTAATCATCCAGTAAAAATTTTCTCTAATTTTAGCATTTTTTAAGAAATTGTCACTAAAAATTTAGCCAAATTAAAAACTCTTACTTTGCCTATTAGTCGGATAAAAACCTATCTACATGTAGGGGTCAAAATTAACACTTTTTACCAACCAACTCATTAAAATAATTTCATATAGGTAAACAAATTATCTATATTCTGCTATTTCAGAAAAATATTATAGTTTCCTATTTTCTAACTAACAAATTTTCTAGTTAGCAATTAGTAACTATTCGATACTCCTTTTCTTAAACAAAAAGATTAGGAATTCGCAGGATCAGCTCTCATAGTTACCAAACTATCATCTGAAACAATATTTACTTCTGAACTTTATCGCCCGGTCTCGGAAAATTATTACTTCCCTAATTCAGAAAAAGATATAGTTGGCTCTGCTAGACAAACTAGTATCCGACCAGCTCTCATAACCACAAAGTTATCATCTGAAATAAATATCTTACAGAAACATCTATTACTTGACTTTTACAAAAAAAGCTAGGTTTAAATAGATATTATTTCTGAATTTCTTGCTTTCCCTGAATCTAGCCCTCTTATGAGGAAACAAAGTTCTAAGGTATTTTAGTAAATGCCTTGAAACAAAACAAAAAAAAGACAACAATTTATACATTATATAATTATGAATTACCAAAAAATATACGAATCTAAAATGTTCCATTTAGCAATTGCCGTGCTTTTAGGAGTTGGTTTAAGTTTTGGATATGATAAATGAATCGCCAAAAGAGAAGAATAGTGATGGTCAAAGTAGTAAATTCAACTAATCATAACTTGGCTTCAGCTTATGACTTGGTGCTAACTGATTTATTTAGCAATTTAAAAAAGATGAAAGAGGGAGTGATTAAGTTAGGAACCTTGGGAGCTTTTCACAAAAAGCAACGCATCATTAAAAGTGCTTTAAATGGCAAGACTTATGCTTACTACCAAGTAAGTTTCAAGGCTTCTTCCCAGTTGAAAAAAGAATTAGATAAATAATTATGATGGATAAGCGATTAATCTTATTAGGAATAGCTGCCGTTTGTGTTGGTCTTTACTTCTATGGTTCAGATAATATTCCTTATTTAGATAGCTTAGCAACCATTGGTGGCTTAGCTTATGCTCTAAAAAATCTAGCTGATTTAGCTAAACAACCTCCTTATGAACAACTTCCAAATACCCAACCACAATCAAAATACACTAAACAATACTAATTCTCAATCATCTAATTTCAATACTCAAAATCAGCAAAACCAGTCTAACAATCAGACTCCGGGACTAATGCAAACCTTATTAAATGCTACTTTACCGGCTTTGCTACAACACTTTACTGGTGGACAGCCAATGCCTGCCGGTGGTAATAATAATAGTAATAGTCCTGAAGTCCAACTAATGCTGACCCAAGTTTTAGCTCAACAGCAGTTAATTATTAACAACCAGCAAGATTTAACCAGCCGAATAGTAAACTTAGAAACTCGAGCTAGTCAACAATTTACTGGTTTAGCTAAGCAAGTGCAAAATCTCAGTTCAGTTCGTTTAACTCCGGAACGAGAACGCAAGCCAATTGACTTTAATCAGAATTCAGACAATTATGGAAACTAATCAAGAGAAAACAATAACCTTTGTTCAATGATTTAGATCTAAAATAGAACATTTGCAAAAAGCCCAAGAGCTTGGTGCTTTGACTGAACAAGGTCAACTTGACTTGAGAAATTGTCGAGCTGCTGAACAAATATTAACCTCTTGTTAAATAACTATGAACTGATTAACTCCCGATCTAACCTCTTTAATTCGAGAACTCCAACAACTAAAATTCAACCAACAAGTTCAACAAAACCAAATTATCGCCCTGTTACAGGAACAAAACCAATTATTAAAACAACTATTACTCAAAAATTAATATGGCTAAAGAAATTAATTTAAAAACCAAAGAAAAATTTACTAATCAGCGTGAGGATATCCTTTACCGAGATCACTTAGAATATACTGGTTCAAAGTTATTTTGAAGTGCTGCCCTTGGTTTATCAGCCATTACCATCTATGCTTCTCTAACTTATTTAGTAATTAAACAATTAAAAAAAGACTAATCTTTACAACCAATACAACCAAATATGACAAAAACTAACAATCACGAAGAAAACGAAAACTCCCTCTATGCCTGAGCCACTGGCAAATTAGTTATTTATGCAATCGGTATCGCCGCTGGTATATTTATTTACAAAAGTGGTATGCTTCAAAAAATAACTGGTAAATTATTCAGTAAAGAAAACGATAACAATTCTAAAAGTTTTGGTAGAAACAACGAAACAGAAAGTCGTTAAAATTTTTCTTTTTTCTTAATTCTCCTAACTATGAACACCCTCCCCCGCGACATCATTACCCAAACTCTCCAAGAAATCTTAACTGAAGATCCTAATTACTTCCTACCAAAGCAACTTCATATTCTTTCTTGAAAAAGTAAGAAAATTGAAGGAGCCTTAATTACCAAAATTAATGGGCAAAGATATTTAGGTTTACCAACCAAAGATAGTAAAGGTCAAGATTATTGGAGATATAAGCTTTTACAAGACAGTCCTGATTTAGGAGAAAATTCCTCCAACAGTGTTGCCAAATTTCAGCCAAACCAAGAAAAAGTTAAAGCTTATGACCAATCAAATACTGAACCATCAGTTAACTCCTAATCTAACCAGTACTATCCAAAATTTAAGCAGTAGTTTACAAAGTATTCAGCCTGACGATAACCAGAATATCAAGAATATCAGGTTTATTACCTATTTACTAGTAGGAACCGCTATTACGGGAATATTTGTTTATTATTACATTAAAAATCAAGAAAGTTTAGAATAATATGTTAGCCCTCAAAGATTGATTACCTGATTTCAAAGGAGCCTTAAAAGGCTTTTACGAAGAAAATATAAAACCCGCTCTCGAAGTTAAGACCGTTTATTATGAAAATTTGCTCAAAGAAAATATTGCTTTTGGGCAAAGAACTCAGAAAATAGCGATTGCTTTAGGAATTGGAATCTTCTTATTACTCGCTATTGCTTATTTTTGACAAGGAAATACTAAGTATTTAGCTTTCGGAACTTTAACTGGTTATTTAACTTCTTACATTTACGAATTATCATCTATTAACCAAAATCGAGAAAACAATTAAATTTATGTTTGAAACCAAACATCTAATCTTATTTAGTGCTTGCTTTATTGGTGGTTTATATCTCCGTCATTGAGCCAATACTGGAACTGGACAATTTAGAAGGCTAAATGAGATTTTTAACTAATTATGTCAACTACTACCTTTATCATCTGTAGCGTTTTAGCTGCTTTTTGTGGCTTTTTAGTCCATCAATCAGTGGAAACCTTGGTTAATACCACCTTAACCTTTTTGCCTTTAAATATTCGCACTACTCGTTAATTAGCCTCTCCGTTGAGAGAAATTTACCCAAAATTGTCTAAAAATATGACCAAAAAAAAACTCCCTTTTTATTTTCGCAATGAAAGTGGTAAAAGTTTACCTAACTTGGAAAAAGAAGTTTGAAAAAAAATTGATGAATTTGCTCAATTAGAAATCATAGAACGCTTAAACAATGCTTTTCGCACTTCCCAGCTCTCACTAACTGACTTGAACTTAAGTAAAAATCCTGACTATCAGCACTATTTTAGAGAGCATAAAAAGGAAACCCAAAAGGACGATGGTTATTACCTTTTATTAGAGAAATACCAAGCAAAAAAATATCAGTCCTTAAAATATCGAGCCCAAAAAGTTGCTTACCAATATTTACTAATGATTAGTAAAGCAATTTTGGGAAGTTTAAGTTATTTGCCTTTTTATAGCCCTGAATATGTAACTAAATATTTAACTAATTAAAATCTTATGAAAAAGAAAAACACCAAATCTAAAAATCAAATCATTGTGGTTCCCACCGGGAATACCACTTTAAAAACTAAATCTACTAAAAAAACTAAAACTTCTCCGGTTGACTATTATAACTGTTTACTAACCGCTGCCCAAAATAACTGATTTGATCCGGTAACCGGAAAAAAGCAAAAAGTAACTGCTTGCTGTAAAAACTGCAAGTTAAATGCTCCCGTTCTAAGTCAACAAAGAACCCAAGAAGTTAAAAAACTAATTCTTTCTTACCAACAAGTAGGGGATAGTTTGAAAAAATTATTGAAACCAATTGAATAAATAAAATGGTTGACTGCTGTGAATTAGCTTTGCGGAATGGTGAATTAGCCTTACGCATTGCTTACGGAGCTTTTGGTACTATTTCTCTCTTGCTAGCCATGTTCTTTGGTTATAACTTGAAATTAAAAAAAGGACAAGTAAACTTAAGCAAACGCACCGAAAAGTTAGAAGAAAAGAACGGACATGAACAACATCAGATAGATCAGTTAAGAAAGGAAATAGATCAATTAAAAAGCAAAAATGGCTAAATGTTTACTTTGCCAAAAAAGAAACTCCTTCTTGGGGGCTAATTTCTGTTTCATTTGCCAATTAACCCAACTACCGTGAAAGTAATGAAAGTAATTTATGAAAAAATGACAAAAGAAGTTAACTGAAAAAGCACCTGCCCAAACCGGAATAAACTACGAAAATGTTA